TTTAAATTTCTTATCTAACCGATTGATAAAATTTGATAAATTTATTTCAGGTTTATAAGCAATATTTATTTTTAAAAATTTAATTTCTTCTAATTCTAGAAGAATTTTTAATTCAAAATAGATTTTGATTCTACTTCTTATCAATTCTTTTGATTCGTCTTTATTTAAAAGTGGCTTATCAGTTTTATTTAGCAAAAGATCTGCTAAGAATTTAGAATATTTGAATGCATGTTAATCAAATAATGTAATCTAAAATTCTCTCATATTTTTATTTTTTTTTATTGCAAACCGATATTCATACTCAACATATAAATCAAATACTTTTAATTTTTGATACATTACTTTTTTATTTTAAAAATATTAACAAATCTAGTATTTATATAATTTTTATACAAAAAACTTGGTCAAAACAGTAATTTTGATTATTTGCTTTAAATTAAATTTATGTTGATGATAATTATTTAAAAAACTACTAAACAAATACTTTTGAAAAATTCTTGTTCAACAAATTTATTAATAGTTTATTAATTTTATTTATTTGTGAACGTTAAAAAATATTGATATTCAAAAACAAATTACTTTGAAAAAAATTGATTTGAGATTGATTTACTGATTTAGTAAATTTATACAAATGCAATATAATACAATACATGAATAATTGATCTTCAAGAACAACTTAAACAAGTTTTAAAATTTTTAATTATTTATTTTTAAATTCAAATAATCAAGAATTACTTCCATCATATTTGGTTTATTCAAAAAATACAAGAATAGAAGCTGTAAGTTTTTGTTTAAAATTATTAATCTAAAATATTTTTAATATTTAAATATTGATTTCTTGGTTGTGGTCGAGGGCCTCGTTTCTTTGTTTTTGCAGATGCAATGCATTCAACACTAAGTTTTGTGTAATTTAAATATGGTCTTTGTTGTATGTATTTTAATTTCTTTTTTTGCCAATATTGACATGCAGATGAAACTTTTGAAACCTTTGTTTTTTCCATTTTTAAATTGCTATCAGATATAAAATCTTGATACTTAAATAATTATTTTGGATAAACTAATTAAAAACTATTTTACAAATTAAGTAATGAATAGATAAAAATTATTAATTTAATTCTTTTTAATGATAAGTTATAATTTGTTATCTAAATTGGATAAAATTCTAAAGATCTATTCCATTATCAAATCTTCATTAAACAATTGGTTTATTCATTTATTAGCAACAAAATAGAAAATACTCAAAGCATATATAATGTTGGAAATTGCTATATCCAAATTTACAAAATTCCGACTGTTTTGATGAGTCACAATTTGTCATTACTCATAAATTAGATAAAATTCCAAAGATCTGTTCTATCAAAAAATTTTAATTGATATATCAATATAGAAAATGCTAATAGAGTGTATAAAACTAGATATTTGATTATTAATTTAGCTGAAAATGAAAACTAAATGAATCTTTCTTTCTTTCTTTTAAAATACTAATCTATCAAATAAATATTTACAAACAATTGCTATATGCAGATTGATTATTGATATTGTGATAAGAATTTTTTTTAGTATAAGATTCTCAAAAAAATGCATCTAGAACAATTTAATTTTCGTACTATTTTCAAAAATTCCCAAAAAAATTAAGGGTAGGGTATTTGTTTACCATTTGTTTGCGTATAGCATGAAAATAAACCAATCAAAATTTAATGATCTGCAAAATTAATCAATTATAATTATATATTTGATTGTATATGCATATTTATTTGTATATTGTATGAAAAAACATGTAAACAAATACCTACCCTTAAATACTTTTACAAATTATCTTTACTATAATCTTTATTGATTTAACCATGTCTACACTTCGTTCTGGTCAGATTTTTTGAACTGATTCAGAAGGAATTCCTGCAAATCAATAAGAGATTTTAGATACTCTTCCTGGAATATAGGATATTTCATCTACATATGAAGAAGCAGTTCGCTTAACTGGTATATAATCTCTCAAAAATTTAGTTCTTCATCGAAAAAATTAAATTTAAATCAAATTTTTAAAAATCAAAAATTAAAAAATTTTAAAATACTGTAATATGTCTTCGAAACAAACAGCACAAAATGTCTCTCAAACTCAAATTTCTCAATCAGAAATTCCTCGAATTCAAGGACAAGAAAATGTTGATTATCTTTAAGAAAGACTTACTGATGAATTTACTAATTATGAAAAAAGAATTAAATATCTTGAAGATGACAATAATTCTTATAAAAAATATTAGAGGTCTGCAAATACCTATACCGAGCATATAGCATTATGCCAGGCACTAGGTACTTCATATCATACCCATGTCTATAGACATAAAATACCAGGTACTATTGTAGGCATGGGCACAAAGTGCCAGACACCATTAAAGGTATAGGCACAAAGTACCAGACACTAGCAAAGGCATAGACACAAAGTACTAGACACAAAGTACTGAGCAAAGTGCCAGGCATAATTAAATAATAAATACTAAATTTCTGTATCTGTGCCCATGTCTATGCCAAGTTTTTTGTGCCATGCTTATGTCTATGCCAATTTTTTATGCTCATGTTTATGCCTATGCCTGAGCTTTTATGCCTGTGCCCATGCCCATGCCTGAAGTTTCATGCCTATGCCTATGCCCAGACCTTTTGTTGAGCACAGGCACGTGCCTGGGTTGCAGACCTCTAAAAATATTTAAATTATTTAATTTTAATAATTTTTATTATTTTATTTCTTTTGAGGTTTATATTTGGTAGACAAATAATACACATAAAATTAACATTGAACTTCTTAAACAAGCAGTCGAAGTTTAAGTTAAGAAAGAACTTTTTAATAACCATTTAGAATTAGATAAAAAACAATTTTTAGAATTTATTAATTTCGTTAAAATAAAATAACTATTTAGTCAATGGTTTGTATTGATGACAAAATTATTTGATCAATTTTTTTTGTTCGTATTCATTATTTGCACTATATAGAAAATGAATATAAACAAAGAAGATTGATTATATGTAATATTTTTTTTATTTTTTTTTAAAATTTAAAATTTATTTTTTATTAATAAAATAATTTTATAAATATTTACAAAATTTTTTTTTTTTTTTTTTTTGTAAATTCCATAGTTTAAACTTTATTTAAAAAAATAAAAATAATTTTAATTAAAAAATTTTAAAATTAACATTTG